TAAAACCTCATAAAAAAGGCAACTAATCCGTTTACCCATAATTGAATCCAAGGACACCAGTGTTAAACACTCAGTACTTATCCTTGATAATGTGTTAATCCAATTAATATAGTGAGATAACGTAACGTTAGGTTATTGAGGGCGGGTTGAGCTAATGCAAATAGAATACAGATACTAATAGATCAATCAGCAAGATATATAAGACTTACTTTAAGAAATGTATTAGAGCAGAAACAAAATGGTCACAAACATCACACTTACTACATTTTGAATATCCTTGTTTGCTCCTGATTCAATTAGAATTTTGCAAACATCAGTATGACCATCGAATGCACTTCTGTACAATGCCGTTGACCCATACTACAAATTATAGCAATATACATAAAAATGGAGAATAAGTGAGCACGTTTTCTTTATAATCACTTAGCACTCTTATGGTATCTAATACAGATGGAAGTAATACAAATACATTCAATGCGGACTTGCGTAGGATATAATTAACGTCATATTTCAAAAAATATAAAATAGCACTCCCAACACAAGGTATATAATATGACATCTCTATACCCATACTTGGGAATATCACACACATTTTTCACATATAAAATTTGATAGTGTGGACTGAATTTTAAACAAATGTGAATATTCAATGATTTGTATTATTATAAGTCTTTGCCAAAATGTGTATCATAATGTGATGGATATTTATAGTAATGTAAGCGAACACAAGTTGTGTTGCCCTCCCGAACAACCAAAAAATTTCCCAACAAATCGGGTCGGCATTTTTTATTTATTCATTTATTTATTTTAATTTTGTTTAAATAAAGATGTCAAAAAGGTGAGGGTCTTTATTCCTTTCGCTGACATATTCCTTGCTGAATCAAGTACAAATTTGAGAAATACACTTCCGAAATTATTAACATTTAGGCCCTGAACATAATATCTAAAAACAGAAATATTTTTATCAAAATCTGGCCATAGCTGCATGCGCAAAATCGGTAAAATTGAAGGTATGATTTTGAAAACCGAGAGACCCGACGACGACAATGTATGCACGAAACATCAGATCTCTCGCAGCGCTGAGCTGTCAAACCAGACCAGATTTCTAGGCCTAGGCCCTAGCCCGTTCTTTACTACAAATTAGCAAGTGGTTGCTTGAATCAAAAATCGTATTCATTACCTTACGGTATACTGTATTGCCATTGGACAAATAATAACAGGCTTTGGTCTAGCCATCACTTTAAAGCCGGTACAGAAACATTTTAGGCTCCGTACGGTTTATGCCAACCATACAAAATATTTTTTCTATTTTTTTAATTACAGTACCTGTATTTAAGTTTATTTCGATTGTATTACACAGAGGGCGCTTGTTTGAAAATTTTCCATAGCCATAGTATGGTTTTGCTCGACCTGCGCCCGTGCATGATCGTGTGGATCGGGGATACACAAATTATTTTACGTTTCGAAACCAAATAAATCTTTCTTTAAACTGATATATTTTTGATAAATTTATTTCAATGTACACTTGGTTATTATTTATTCCGTCATTATATTTTTTTGTTTGACAAGCATGCCATCGTTCTATTGTGGTGCCTACGAGGCCTTAGGCTTGGTGTTTTCATAAAAGGGACCCCGGTCAATTTGAAGTCTTTCCTATCTCAGGTACCTGTAGGACTATTACTAAAAATACCCACCCCCTCCCCCCCCCCTCAAAAAAAATAAATAATTAAAATAAAATTTAAAAAATCCGACCGACGAACTCGATTTTATTTCCCCATTCAAGGGCACAACAATTTTTTTTTGGCCTTACGTACGTCATCTTGAGCATCAATGGCCGACGTTGAGATTTTTCTTACAATATCTGTTACCAAATCTCTTGGAATGCCTTGGTTCAGACTGATACCACCAAACTAAATTGATTTAAAAAGAATAAAAACAAACAAAGTTGTCATTAGACACAATTAATCCGTTAAAACAAGGCCATATTTATAAGGAATAGGCCTATCTAAAAAGTATTGAATGAGGCAGAGTGAAATAGATAAATGCTTACATTTGAAAACTTGACAGATTTATGTTCAATCAATAGTAAAATTAAAAATTCCAATTGCTGTCATATACAACATAGTACATGAAATTTGTAAATTTGTATTCCAGCGCTAGGAATACACAAGCTATACATACAGATTTTTTTTAAAACAAGACAACTGTAATTTATAAAACAATACATACAGTGCAAGAAATATGTAAATTACATTTAAATTAAATACATGATACAGGAAGTGATAAGGGATCAAAACGAGTTGTATACCGTAGAGGTAAAAAGTTTTAAATTATTTGACAATATAAAAGAAATAAAACGAAAGGTACTAGGTAAATACAACTTGATTTTTTGCTTCGAACAAGGTATCCATTCATAAGCGCAGATAAGCCTATGTCATGTGACTTTAAACTAGAGACCAGAACATAACTTTAAATTGAACAAAGGTTGAATTATGTTAACATAGAACAAGTATACAGAGACTAGCCCATAAATGTAAAAAACTGTATTTAAAAATTAAATAAAAATGTATGTGTAAGTCTGTTGATAATTATGATATACTTATATATAATCATTTTGTCATTTGTGCATCACATGTTTGTAACATTTGTTGGCACTAGTAATCGTCAGAGGTCAAGGTGCCGGCAGCCTACACGTTTCATTCGACATCGAACACTAAACCTGACGTGATTTCCAAAATTACTTTATATGAAAAAAGGTTTGTTAGTGTAGTTTATAAAGTTAGTAATTATAAAGCAAAGTTTATATGAAAAATAAATATATCTTACATAAAATTCTTTAACAGTGTATATAACAGTAAAAAAAAGTTTAACTACAATTAAGCGTCTATGGTGTTAAAAAAGGACAAGGCAAGAAGACCTGATATTGTGTGACAGTTGAAACAATGTTCTGAAAGTCAAAGATACTAGAAATACAAGATAGAGCACTCGCATAGCAAATGAAAAATGAAAAGTAAAATAAAAATAAAAAGTGAATAAATTCAAATGGTTATACTTACAATCGATTAAGCGATAGTACTCCATCAATGTTATCACAGACATAAAGTCAAGTCAAAGTCTTAAAAAACTATTTCAATGTTTACATTATACAGTACATGTCTCTTATACACATCTAGATGTGTATAAGAGACAGATTATAAGTCTTTGCCAAAATGTGTA